TACTCTTAACTCTTTGCTAAACTAACTTTACTTCAATCCACTCTATTATAACACTTTATTCTTAATAAATAAATAGGAAACCAAATTTCTATAATTTATCCCTGATATATATATATATATATATATATATATATATATATATATATATATTTACAATATTCTTTAAAGAGAACTCCGTGAGAAAAAAACTTTAGTGAGAAAAATCGAAAAAACGAACTACAAACATATTAACGCCAAACATTCGGTAGAATTTATAGAATATTGTAAAAATTATGGTCTATTACCAACATATATATATTAAATATGGTTATCGTGGCTATTGTATTGTTTGTTTTCGCTCTGCTAGAGATTCTCGATTTTCGGAGTTTTAGTGTTGATTTTGTTTCTGAAAATTGGACATATTATTGCAATTAAATTCTAGATACTGTTTTAATTTAATTCAATATTTAAAGTTGCGTATTTTTGGCATTTGAATCGAATTTTCATAGAGTTTATTTAGTCACGTGTTAATTGCAGTGTACAGTTTTGTTCCACCTGTTATTATGAATACACGTCAAAATCCAGGTAAGAAAGACGGTGTACTTACGTTGAAACAGCTTCAATGTTTTCAGTGTAAGTGCACGGCTAATGTTGATTCGATGTCTGACGAGGTTTATTCAGTTGTACGTTTAAACGGTAACATTAAATGGTTCTGTGATAAAAAACGTTTGTGACATGAAACTGTTATCTAAATCTATTGATGACATAAAAGTTACGTTCAATGAAAAGTTAGACAAACTCAACGATGTTAATGCTTCAATTAAGACTAAATTGGAAGAAACTGATTTGGGGCTGTTGAATAAATCGATTGATGAAATCAGTAAATCACTTGATGAAAAAGTTAATGCCATCAGTGCCAACCACGTCGCTATAAAATCGCAGCTGGACTCGATTGAGTGCACATCGGGAAAAAAGTTAAATCAAGAGATAAGCGGCCTCAAGTCTGAAATGATGAGATCTTTTGCTAGTGTGGTCAGCACTGAAGTGAAACAGAGCAAGACATGAAAGCTCTAAATTTAAATAAAATGGATACAACTGATCGCCTAATTTGGCGCAAAAAGTTGATGGTAAAAAAAAACAACGTCCTACCTCGGGAAACCGGGTCTCTGGACGCAAAACGAAAATTGATTGATTGATCACTGTAATGAAACTGTGATCTGAGTAGATTTCAATTTGATAGATTTTGCAGTCCAATACCTGAAAATTCGATGATGTAACCACTAAATCCAATGTTCCTCCATGAGAATGAGTTGGTTCATTTACATAATTTACCAGCTGATAATTTTCAAAAATATTTTTTAAAGCACCAGCGTGTGGATCACCGTTTTTTCAACATGTATTTTGAGATCACTTAGTAGTACTATCTGAGAATTTAATATAGTAAAATTATCCATGATGGCTGTTAGTTCGTCAAAAAACAACGCAGATAGTTGAACTGAGCCGAGCCGATACATGGCAAGCAGAACAAAATCCTGACGACCAAGAGCCAACTTGACAGCCAATGTCTCAAACGTAGTAACCACCGGCAAGTAAATTATTTTATACTTGAAGGAAGAGCCGAAAAATACTATTAGTCCCACATGAAAAGGATCATTTACTCTTAGAGCATCCACAAAACGATAACCCGGAGACATAGATAATGCAACAAAAAGGTTGTCAGAAGATCCATGCCACGTTTCCGTTACATTTTATTTAGACACTATCGATTTAGCAAGCCCAGTTTTAATCTGACCACATTTTTATTACTATCATTAAAACTCCCAACACCACCACTTTTCAAACTGCTATCAATAACATTATTATCACCACCAGGAAAATCATTATTATTAACAGCGTTAATACGATCGTCAATTAAATTACCATTATCAATATTAGAAACACCAGCATTTAATAAATTTTCATTACTAGCACCTCCATCATCCAGCAGCAGATTGCCATCCTCTATAACCTTGTCACCACTACTTTCAAGCTCAATCAGCAAAGGTCTGTTTACATCTTAATTTTTTCGACCCAGTCTAATAACCTTCACAACATCTTTATCGCAAATCGTATTATCAGTAAAACGATTAAACACCTTGAACACAATATCGTTATCATTGTCACCCTTTGGCAGTTGAAACAACATAATGTTTAATTCCTTGCTCTTGGCATCTGAAACCTCCACCAATGTTTCCTTAATCTTTTTGACTTCTGCACTGACGACATCAATCTTCTTTTTGAACTTACACCCAACAACACCAGTCAATGTTGATTCAATCTCCTTTTTAAACGTCATCTCCCGGTCTTCGCCATTCAATTAGCTGTTTTCAATTGCTCTAAGTCTTCACTCATTTGACAGCTTCCATTTCAGATTTTATATCAATATTTAGTTCTCTTATACTGTTAATTTTAACAAGTAACTCACTGGCTGTTGCCAGAACATCAGAACCCGAAACTTAAAATTTATATAATAGTTTCAAGAAAAAAAATAGCGATTATTAATATATTAATTTGAATTGCATAGCTGTATCGCATAGCTGTTCATTGAATCGCATAGCTGTTCAAATTTTTAAGACATTGAACAGCAGAAAAAAATCAACTGTAAGTGTAAAACAATTTGATGTAAATCCACAATGATAACACGGCAATGATTGAGTTGAATGAGCACTTTCTTTTAAGAGTCCTTCTACTTTTAGCTGCTGTACGTGTTTTATCCACAATAACAGAATAGTATATACAAACTGCAAATTAATAAGTTGAAACACACCTGTGTTGAACACGTGGTATTGCTAAACAACTTTTGTTTAAATAAATGACAGTTTGACTTCAAATAACTAATTTAAGAGTCGATTTAATTACAAAGATGTAATTATTATATTATTCCGAAACAGGCATACGCAGTTAAACGAAATTTGTACCGAAATTCGAAAATTAAGAGTTTTAAAAGCTCAAAATTCAAATCGTCAAAAAGTATACATACATATATATTTCTTTTTAATTTATTAATTTCCGAGAAATTAGACATTTTATTGTTTTTTTTAAATTTTTATTATATAAATTTGCAAATAGCTACAAAATTTAAAAAAAAAACAATAAAATGTCTAATTTCTCGGAAATTAATAAATTAAAAAGAAATATGAAAAAGTTGAACAATGTTGAAAGTAGTGTTGAATTTTTGAAATGTTGCGTTAACAATAGTCTGTTACCAAAATATACATATATATACATACATATTCTTTTACAGCTGCTAGCTGTTGGTCAATTGTTTTTTGCTGTTGATTTTTGGCGTTTTTCGAGTCGTATTTGAGTATTTTCATTTAATTTTTGGACGTACTATTCACTTTAATCCAGAGAATTCAATTTTTCGGTTAATATCGATATTTTAGAGGTTTTTGTTAATTTTTTAAGTTGAATTAATTTTCATTTTTTGGTATATTCGTTTTAAGCTGCGTTGTACGATATTCAGGTTGTTGGTGATTGGACAATTGCTAGCATGCCAAATGCTAATGATAGAGTGTGCACTTGTTGTAAAAATGAAATTAAAAGAACTGAAAAAGAAATACAATGCAGTTCATGCAAATTTCATGTGCACACAAAGTGTGTAAACATATCTGATTCCTATTTACCTGTGTTTAAAATGAAACATGTAAAATTTTATTGCGATGGCTGTCTGGAAATTTTCGTAAATTTTGACAATGCTATAGTAAATGTTGGTAGACATTTTTTAAAATCTGCAGTTGAAATTGCTACTTTTTCTGAGTCAAACAAACAGCTGAGGTAAATAACATAAAAAAGTTGTTGAATAATTTGGGAAAAGATGGTGTGGCCGTCGGTCCTGAGTTTGCCAAAGAAATGGATATAATGAAAAAGGAGTTGAAGGTGAGCTTTGCTGATGTTGTTAAAGGTGAATTTAAAAATGAAATAAAATCCGTCAATACCGAGGTCATGAATGTAAGTAGAAAATTAGATGAAGAGAGTGAGCGGAAAAGGAGAGAAAATAATATATTAGTATTTGGTCTTAAGGAACAAGGTACAATAGTTGAGGAAAAAAATGTTGTATTAAAAATATGTAAAGAATTGTCATGTGATTTAATTGAAAATACTAATGATTTCAAAATAAGTAGACTGGGAATAAAAGGTGAGTCACCACGGTGACTCAACCTATGTTGGTTGCTGTCAGAAATAGCAATACCAAAACTGCCATCATGAAAAATTTGTTCAAAATCAAATCATTTGATTCTGATTTGAATAAAATTATAATTAGACATGATTTGACACCCCAGCAAAGATTGACGTTGAAAAAAATGATTGATAAGGCAAAGGAAAAACAGGCGAATGACCATACGGGTTTTTTATACAGGGTCAGGGAAGAGCTGGGGGAATGGAGAATAGTAAAATTCAAAAAGATGGAGTTAACTTAGAAGGTGTAAAATCATATAAATATAGTGTTGGGTTGGTTAATAATGGGGTTAAATTTGGGTTATTAAATATTAGGTCAATTATTACTAAATGGGGGGATGTATATCAATTATTAATTGAGGGTCTGGATATTTTTGTTATCGTTGAATCTTGGCATGGTTCCTCTGATTATATATCGGTGAAAATGTCAATGCCACCTGGATATATGTTTGTTGATTATTTAAGAGTAAATGATCCATACCATGGGGGGTTAATAATTTTTTTTCGAAATTGTTACAAATTTGAAAAAATAAATGTTTCTGTTTTTTCATCATTTGAGGCACTTTGACAATTGAT